GATGAAACACACTTATCCCTGAAAATGAAACCAAATTGCTCAGAATTTCCTCCAAAAAAAAAAAAAAAAAAAAAATCCTCAAAAGCATCTATTTGACATATTAGCCAGTGAAATAAGACATTTAATGGATGTGTTTTAACGAACTATAACCATTAGGACTGTTTTCCTTTCTAAAGTGTGTTCTTAACTGTGGAGACTTCTAACTTTACAAAAGATGGCATTGAGCTTCAGGATGATGCTTCAACATGCCTAGGAAGCTCAGAAATCAAACTGTTACAAAAGCCAGTTATTTCTGGAAACAACCATTAATATCACAACAGTGACATTAAGTATTAATCTAATTTAATATTAATTAAACATGGTAAAATTAAACTTTAGCAAGCAATCTATTAGAACAAGCTAAATAGTACTAGTGTTTGGTAAGAAGATCTAGTTTAACTTTGGAAACTCTAGGAAGAGAGAGTCCCCTAAATTGACTATAACATAGCAGAGCTACCTGCTAGGAAAGAAAACATTTTTTAAAACTCTCAAACATTTTTTAAGCAAAATTTCATTACAAAGAGATATGCTAACTACATACCAATGATGTTATGAAAAATAATTGGCTAATTCAGCTTTTATATGTAAAATAAATGAACACAGTATTTATTAGAACTATACTCATTCACTTTCTACAAAGTGTCAACTGAGGTACTGCTCTAAATCCCGATCAGCAGGTGTTCTAGTCTTCCTTTTGTTGTTAATGATAAAAATATTTTGATTAAAAGCAATTTAGGGGAGGAAAGAGTTTAAATGGCTTATAATTCCAGGTCACAATGCATCATTGAGGCAAGTCAAGGAGGGAATCCAGATATTAAGAACAAAGGAGACATATTACTTGTGGTTAGCTCCTCTTTCTGACTCATACTTCGATAGCTCTCAATGCCTGCTCAGCAGGTGGCACTACCCACAGTGAGCTGGGCTCCCCTACATCAATCAAGACAATCCCCCACAGACCAACTTGACAAAGGTAATTACTTGATGGACAAGTTTTTCAGGTGGTTATAGGCTGTGTCAAGTTGACAGTTAATGTTAACTGGGACAGTGAAGTTTGAGAAGACTGGGGCAGAAAATAAACCAGCAACAAAATAATTAAGATGTCAGATAACTATGTAGAAATATAACAGATAGAAAGTGAGAGGGTAGGGAAAGGAAATACAACATCATTCATTATCTCTGAAGTAGTAATTGGGCTGAGACCCAAGTGATATGACAGACATTCCTGGGTAACTTAGGAAATAGAAAACCCAAGTTATGAATACCTGACCTATAACCAGCCAGCACACAGGAACAGAAAACACACACACTCACACACACACACACACACACACACACACACACACACACAAACAACCTAACATTTGAGGGGTCCCCGAGTAAGAGTACAAGCAGAGGCCCACATACTAAATGTCTAAACAACATTCCAAATAAAGATAACAAACTAGTTAAATATGTTCCATCCTCCTACCTTAATAACATTCTTTTCACCAGAATACAGTAGTCTGAGCAAAGCTATCCTCTAAACCCTGACCTTTCCTCTGGGTTCAAACTACACAAGGGACTTTACAGATGCCCAGATGTGGTTACCCCTACCTGTTCATCCGAGCTCATTCACATAGTCTTCTTCAGCCACTTATCAACCTAAACCAGACTCCACTTTCAAGTGTAAGCCAGTAAGCAGTTAAGCTATCCCATGATAACAGATTCTCCTAGTTAGCAGGACCTAATGTCTGAGATGAATAACTGTTTCCACCATGATCACACCACAAGGAAGGAAAATATGAAGCTAATAATTATTTCAGGATTAATTAATTTATGTATCAGTCACTCTTCTAATTTTCATAATCCATTGAGGTTAATATTAGACATATTAAAATTGAGAGTTTAATTTATTCAGGATACATGACAGATCTGGAATAAGAGATATTAAAATTCTAAAACCTGTGATCTTAAGATAAAAGACATACATTCTAACAGCAATTAGTTAACACTTTTCTTCAAAACATAAACCAAAAATGTTCCAGAGAAAACAAAATTACTAGAAAACTAAAATAGCTTTTACCTAACAATAACTTAATATCAGATTTAAGTACATGATGCTCATCTCAGTAATATTCATAACTAGAAAAAACAGCAGATAATTGAATAACAATCCACCAATATCCTGCCTTATTAATTCCCACACTTTTCAGTTCCAAAGGCCTACTGTTGTGGAATATTAGTTTAAAATGTGTTACATTCTTTTATGGTGTGGAATGTTTAATGACGCAAACACATGTTGTTTTCTTTTATGTTGATTTTGATTAACTCTGTAAAGCTGTGTTACTTTGCCTGTCTAAGGCACCTTACTGGTCTAATAAAGAGCTGAGCAGCCAATAGCTATGCAGGAGAGGGATAGGCAGGGCTGCCAGGCAGAAAGAATAAATAGGAGAGAAAAGGGAGGAGAAAGAGAGGACACCAGCCACCAGCCAACTAGCCACCCAGCCAGCCACAGAGTAAGAAGGAAAGAAAGATATATAGAATAAAGAAAGGTAAAAGGTCCAGAGGCAAAATATAGTTAAAGAGAAACAGGATGATTTAAGTTAGAAGAGCTGGCTAGGCATTCCTAAGTAAGAAGTCTCATTGTAGTTATTTGGGAGCTCAATGGCAGGCCCCCAAAGAGAAAAACAAAAGCCTACTTTCCTTTTCTTAAGCATGAATCAGATCAGATTCTCACTAGAAACTTCATTACCTATGAAACAACAGATTCAAATATCTCACTCTCAAATCCCAAACCATATCCACCCAGTTTAGCCCAGAAAAGTTTCATCACAGTCATTCATCAGCTACACGGTGAACCACTATGATATTCAAGCTTAGGCATATATAGTACATCTACATGTAGACACAGATGCCCAACAGGTCCAAAATTCAGTAAAATTTAGTATTCAGAAGACCTCAGAAGACATTGTCATAGCATGATACTGAAGGCCAAGACCCTGGGTAAAATACCTAGAAAATGTGTACAGCAGGGAGAAACTATTCTTTGTCATCCATTTAGCAAATTATCAAGTTACCAGACTTATGAAAATAACTCACAGTAGCTTCTAGCTTGTCAAATACAATGATCTACTTGCAACCCCAAGCATTCTAACTTACTTATACTTGGATTAACTCAGACAGCTACTCTTTCATTGGAAAGGTCTCTTGGAGTAAAACTGGGATCTCCACCAGTACTAGTAAACTCAGGACTTGGCATTCTCAGAGTTAGTACTTGGGCACTAAATCTTCTCATGTTCTTGCTAGTTTTTTGAGTCAAATCAACTAAACCTAGCTTAAACTAAAACTTGTGTTGGTCATACAAGGATAATTAGGGTGCTGTGATCTAACTTGAATCGCAAAATTATTGCAGAGTACTGTATGAAGGCAGGGAAGGAAAAATTATGGGACCTAAGGGAAAGGAGCCCCTCACCCAGAAGTCGGAGCTCGTCACCAAGTTAAAGAATTCCAGTACAAATAACACTTGCTATGAAGATTGCCAACATAAAGGCAACATCCCTTTATATAAAGATATTTCATGTTGAACTAGCAATGGATCTTGCTTAAGGTTCAAGCCTCTGTGTCCTTTAAGTAAGGCCTTAGTCCTTTCCTAGATACTTTCTGGGAACCTCACAAAACCAGAGTATTAATTTCGTTTCCGGTGAAGTTATCCTAACTCCTGGAATCATGCTTGCCAGGTACCCTTCAGGAATCTCCCTTAAAGTCCGTAGTAACCCTTCAAAGACAATGCCTTCAAAGGTCACAAAAATCCTGTACATAAACATTGTAAGGACAGTGAAGAATGACTCTCCAGCTTTGCTTCGCACTGGCTCCTCCTAGAATTCTTCTCCTTGGTGCGTCTAAGGATCCGGCCTCGTGCGAGAGAAATCTCTCAAAACAAACTCTTCCAGCAGCTGCGGGAGACAGCCTCGGGAACCTGACAAGGTTAAACAGTTTGAGTTTATCAGTGTTACAGCACACCGTTAGCGTCTATCGGTGAGCACTCCTATTTCATGGTGTTCCTCAGGCTGTTCGCACTCATTGCTTCTTTTTCCGCCCCGAATCCCTCACAGGCTCGGGGGTCAGCTCAAAGGAACACACACAACGCCGCAAACGCCACACCGCGGAAACAGTTCTACAAAACTTGAAAGCTTCTTCAACAGCTCACGCGTGAAAGTGAAAATCAAGATGCGCCAAAAAGAACAGGACACAAAACACAGCCTGTCAGACTGTCTGCACA